GTATCTTGGAGTTCCCTAGTTAGATATATACCACAATTTCGGCAAAGCTATGCGGCAAAGCTTTCAAATACCATTACTTCGATGAATATTTCTCGGATACAACTTAACATAAAATCATAGTAGCCCTGTTACACCTTTTTGTTAGATTGAACCCACAATTAAAAGTGATGCTAGCCAATTTGGCCATCCTGGAGATCGACTACATTCGAAGATAACTAATTACCGTCACCAAGCAGCGTTGCTTAAGATTTTGAGGCGTTTTAAGGTTTACCTCCAGTTTTCCTTTCCAAAAAATATGCGGCATCAATGCAATGTATTAGCGTCGAAATAAAATTAAAGTACCACTTACATCATTAACATCCTGGAAAAGTGTTTGCAGGAGTTGACGGCTCGCAAAAATCAACGCCCACGAGCCGGAGAGGTCCGCGAATTGCGGGGATGGGCAGGTGTTGAGAAACTGAAAATTTTTTGCAAGAAGTCGCTGCTGCTATTCAAAAGTTAGCGCGCTACCGTAATGTTTCCATGAAACAGATTTTTCAAAAATTTTTCTAAATTCAGGCTTTCGTAAAATATCTGAAAGCCTTTAAATTTTGCAAATTTCTCGATTGGTCGAAACATCTATATTTTTTCGTTTTCTATAATAAAAAAACTCTGAAGCTCTTGCATGATATTTGCTAAAAACGAAATTATAAAATTTTAGATACGAAATTACGAAAAAAAAACCTAGCAACCTCAGAGAGTGATCCGATGGCGCCGGCCGTCTTCGGGTCCAAATTGTACAACGAATTTCCCGGGTAGCCTCCATTGTTGATCGACGGTAGTGGCACTTGCGAGATGAACTGGAGGTAATAAAATCGTAAAAATTGAGATTTAAGAAAATTTAAAGGGATGCCGACGGCATAGCCAATCGGTTACGCGCGGAAAAGAAAATGTCTCTGCGCCTATCCCCTGAGCGCGCTCTCTCCCCTGTTGGCTACTTGCCAATTTGTTGATGAGGGGGGATCGACACATGCCGTCGGCAGCCCTTTAATTTGAGGGAAGATTGAAGCCAGGAAGGTTTATTCCGAAGACTCGAATAACAAAAAGGAAGAGAAAAGGCCAAGAAATTTTGAAAACTAATGTATCATTTTTATGTAACCGTCAAGGCGGGGGCGATTGTGGTAATTGCTTGTGTTGTTTGAATACATTAAAATGCCGTTTTAGAAAGTAAAGCGATAAGACCTAAGCCTTAAAAAGACTAAAAAAACAAGGTGACCATAACGTTTTAAACTATACTTTGTAAGCTAATAATGCTTTTGAACTCTGAAAAAATGTTTCATAAAGGCCACAGCCCTTTGCCTCGCAATTCATCATAATTCATCGAATTTCCGATCGGCCTAAACATATGAAAGCAATTCTTTTTTATGCACATCACCATCCAAAATAGCCGCAATTCAGCTTATTAACTTGCCTTTTCGCCGAATTGGCGGGCCTGCAGGGCGAGTCCGCGGATGAACTGCTCGATCGGGTCGCCGGCGGAATATTTCGGAATTAGTGTGGCAAATATCAGCACGAATAGATTGGTAGTGAATATCATGATCTTGGCAGCATTACTGGAATCAAGAGGGTTATTTTTAATCATCTTAAATTTTTATACTTCTAAAATTTTGTCGAGATTTAGAACTTCGGAAACTCGTCATTTTGTCAAAATGATATTTTACTCGAGAATTAATTTTTCAGAATTTTACTTTGTCGAAATCTCACCTTGTCCAGTTTTAATGAGAGAAAAACTTCTCCAAAATTTTTCGGCAACGCAATTTTTGTATACCCTTCAAAAATGGAATTAATTGTAAGGTATATCCCAGGCAAATTCTACATATATTATGGCTTATTTTCACGTTGACGAAGCTTAACTTTGTCGAAACATCATTTTGTAGAAACACAGTATGTCGAAATTTTAATGCTTTTTGCCTCGATTATCCAGCTCCAGCACTTTCGATTTCGAGAAAATTTTGACGAACCAATTTTATACCGATACTAAAATGGTATATTAGCCGAGAAAAAAGATGTTTCTGATAATCATTTTTACCTTTGCTTAGTCATTTGGGCAATAATACTACGATGGGTTCTGGACGCTAAAATTGAACCATTCAGTTGCAAAAAGCCTACGACAGGTGCTGAACCGTTAGCGGGGGGAGGGGGACTAATTTTCCCAGAAATCCCGTATGGTCCTATAACAAAATGCTGCCTTATGGCACATTTTTATAGCATTTTACACGGTTTTCAGATATGAAAAGCTCATCAAAAATTGCGACAACTTTTCGAAATTGTTAGTATTGTTAGAAAGTTATTATTATTAGTCAAAAATGTATAAAAATGCCCAGAAAACGGCACAACTTTCGAATTTTCAACGATGTTTCAAATATTCTTTGAAAATTTTTAGCAATCAAAAACTAGTAAAAACATTATAAAGATAAACAATTGGTTATTAACAGGTATAGACGGGGAAACAAAAATTAATCTCCCTGCCAACAACACAATGCCAAGGTCTACCCAAACCCAAAAAAAATGTATGATTCACCGATGGATAGTAGTGGCTAGCCCATCCACCGGCATTTTAGCCCCCAAAATCGGGCATTGTGTATATTGGACGTCGAGAGGAGCCGAGCGGAAACCGGTCGGATCGAGGGGTAGTATGGCCGGGGAATGGCAGCAATCTACAGCCAAAAAAGACACTAAATAGACTCGAACAAAAGGTCAACTTTTGAACGAGGGCTTTTAAAGGCACTGGAAAGGAATGCCTATGGATTTTGGTCCTTTTGCATTATCCGGGGGCATCTCTTTTGGGTTCCAATTTTCCTAATATAAATAGAGGAAGTTGTTTAAAAAAATTGTCATTTCTAAGCGAAAAATGTTAGAAAGTTTTGTAAAACGTACAAAAAAATAATTTTTTTTGAAGAAAAATCGCCGATTTTCGAATAAAATGGAGAATTTTCTAATTTTTGTAACTAGTTTTCCGCTTTATAAATAGTTAAACTTTGCTAAAAACTCTTTTTAAACCTTATTCAACTCTTATCTTTACGTTACTAGGGCTTTCTGGACTATTTCTTTTGGCTATTGGCTTTTCCCCGGTGGCAGGCAGTATCCTCCATTCGTTTTATTACATAACGTAGCTGTTTAGTTCATTTGCGTAATTTAGGGAGAATCTGCCAGCTTTTTTAGTATATTGTCCGACGAAAAAAAGATGTTTCATACTTTTAATGAGAGTGCGCAACGCAGGCTATTTTAATTTTTTTTTCGCCGACGCTGTCTCTGCAAATCATGTTCGAAATTTGTTTCTTTATCTTCTTTCTACCTTTTGATAGTTATCCTTTTTATAAATAACGCAATGTTGCCAGAAAAATACTGACAAAATTTGCATTTTCTCGCTACAAAAAAAAACCTCTTTCACGTCAAATGGCTTAAGCGTTTCGATGGAAGGTTGTTATTCCGACCAGCTTTTGACTTCTACTAAAAGTTTTTAAAACGTTCAAAAGAGTCTGTTTACTGTATCGAATGGCAAAAAAATGCACGCAATAAATGTTTCATCTTAAAAATAACAGCGCGCCGCGCTCGCATTTTTAATGACTTGTTCCCATGTCAGCTCCGATTTTGGAAAGTTTTATCCTCTCTTTCTCCCTGCATTTTTAGGATTTTCGGATTTATTTGTGATAATCGCTTATTTTTCATGAGTTTTTGGGTAGCTGATTTTACAAGCTTGATAAAAAATTCAACAGTCAAGATATATTTCACGTAATACATAGGCTCAACTGGGATTTGGACTATATTATTGCTTTAATATCCTGCGTTTTCACATAAAATCAATAAACATTTAATTCCAAAAATCGATTTATTATACTAGAAAGCACAAATGAACTCTCTCCACAAATCATGTCTCACTTCAATGCACATAATGGGAGTTGTCAGCGCGGAAAAAAGTAAGTTTCAATAATTTCTAAAAAATCAAGAAAATTTCAGTGAGTCAATATTAGCGCACACGATCCACTCACTTCGTTTTCGTTTTCAAACATCCAAAAAATTACGGGTTCGATAAGTTCAATTCCGCGCGTTAATGGGAGGGCGAAAACCTAGCCGTTTTCTAATTCGGAATCACGAAGAAAATATAGATACAAAATTCAAATTAAGTCCGGAATTGATAAAAAACCACACGCCAAAAACACACACACCAAGAAAACGCCTAAATACCGCGCGAAAAATCGGGGGCGTTTGGAACCGTTGGAATTGGGGGTTTCCTAATTAGGGGGTTTTTATCAATTTTTGAAACATTCGAAAGGTAAAGATAATTAATTCTAATTCAAACATTACCAGGAGTAAAAAGGAATTGGGGGAATTTCGAAAGATCCTATTTACAAGTCGACGCGCCGGATCACAGAATGGACGGAAAGGGGCGAGAGAAATTAGCATAATTCGAAAAATGGGGGTAATCTGGGAAAATTGCTCATTTCGTGGTGGGACTAGGGAATTTCGTTAATTAAAAATGGGATTTAATCTAATTTATAGCTGGGAAATTAGGGGAATTTTTGGGGGCTGGGAAAGACGCATTTCGGAGAAGTAGGGGAACTGATTATACTAATTTGAATATGCTAAATATGTGGTGATTTTTGTACTGAAAACGTCACCAATTTTTAGAAACATTTTGGAGAAAGTGTGTTTCAAAAAACTTGAAAAAATAATGCGGTGAGAACTCATTTTATTGTTTCAAGCAAAAATTTTCGGTTTTTAACATTTTTTGAAACACGCTTTCAAATTAAAAAATCACAAAAATTGAAAGAACGATCGTGGGGGAGGATAAAGCTGCCGCCCCCTGGATCTGGGGCCTGTTGAAAGTGGGCGGGGCTTAGTGGTGGGATACGGTGAATATGCTAATATTTTCGATAAAAATATTAGTTTCAGAAATTCTGGGTGTCAGGAGGGTTGTGGAACGTTCAATCTCTTCGTTTTCGATGTTGCCTTCCTCTCTACTGCGTGTCCGTCTCGGTGGGCGTGGCCGAGTCGTAGACCGTGTCGTTGTCGCGCACCTTAAATTAATTTTATTAATTTTTTGGTTAGTTTATTAATCATTTATATAATTGCAAAGGAGATCCTAATGCTAAAATTTCAGCACAGCCCTTTTAATTTATTTGCGAAACATTTTTCTCACTAATTTTTTGAGAACTTCGAAAATACCTCGGTCTGAAGCCGACATGGCCGATCCAGCGTCCCGGCACCGCAATCGCAGAAGAAGCTGAAAAACGCCAAGTAAATAGGATTTTAATCCGCTTGCCACTTTTAATAAAATATGAAACTCTGCATCTTTATGAAGGAAAAATCAAATTTCCCGGGTTTAAAAACGCCAAATAGCACCTTTTAAGGTGTTTTGCAGAACTACTATTTGCTAATTATTCAATTATAATTACAGAATGTAGAGTCCACAAATCAAAAAAAAATTATTTTTGTTATTTGATAACCTTGCCACCTGCAGGATTGCTTAAATTAGTTTGCTTCTGGCCTGCTCAAAAGTTGAAACATGCAAAAATAACAAAATTTCGCTCGATTCAGTGAAATTCTATTAACTAGTCGTTTTAAAGCTAATATTGTCATTTTTAAGACAGCAAGACTGATATCGCTGACAATCGCTGACTGATAGCTTGAAGCATACATTACTCAAAAAATGTTTTACTTATAAAGGTTTTACCGAAATTAGCTCATTAATTGTGACAAAAGTTATTACCATGCGGCCCTTTAAAAACTGTTACATCACTTTTTCATCCAACTCACCGGTCATGGCGCACGAATTCGACCTGATGGCCCTTGTGGCAGCTCTTGATGCAATTGATGCAAATTGCGTTTCGCTCGGTGGTGTTGCACGAGATGCACCTGGAAATCGTGAAAATTACAGTACTGTGGACTACATAAAGATAATTATAATTTCTTATTAGTCTATAAAATCTCTATGAAGGTTTAAGGTATATGTTTCGCTTTGAAATGTAGGTTGGCTGTCTTGAAAGGTAGTGGTCGGAAAAATAAATGTTCCAGAAATCAGACAAGTTAAAAATATATTTCCGTAGTTTATTAGGAGGTCGATTATGGGCTAAACTCCAGATAACCCCCCCTCCCCCCCAGCCAGCTCGGCCCCATATGTCCTAGTAATGCGCGGAGTATCTCAAAATGTTCGCCGTGGTCTAAAACCCAACGGAAAGTTGTTTGGTTTCGCCGAAAATCGCTAGAAAATTTTTTATATAATTTTTTCGCAAAACCTTATACAAGCCCAAGCTTAAAATTTTCGACGTCGATTTTCGTCTTTTTTCGTGAATTTTTCGACCTAAATTAAATGTTTTCGTATTCTCCAGGTCAAGAGCTACATTTTGGTACCCTTGCCAGCCGTGTACGACAAACTAGAGTCGAGATACCAATATCGACTTTGGGTCAGGAAAAATTAACACAGGCGACCCAGACTTATAATTCTTATAAAAAAATTATAGCGATTTTTGAGGGAACTAAACAACTTTCCGTTAGGTTTTAGACCACGGCGAACATTTCGAGATACTCCGCGCACTAATAGGACCTATGGGGGCCGAGCTGGCTGGGGGGTTATCTGGAGTCTTACCCGATTATGTAATTTTGCGCTAAGGAAATCGGTTTTCCAGATAGTTTAAAGGGATGCCGACGGCGTAGTCAATCGTTTACGCACTGGAAAGAAAATGTCTCCCCAGGGCGCGCTCTCTGCCCTGTTGGCTACTTGCCAATTTGTTGATGAGGGGGGATCGACACATGCCGTCGGCAGCCCTTTAATTTAATTAATTTAATTAGATAAGCTAAAACTTGAATTACAAAACTACTAAAATATTAACGGTTCTAAGCACTACATAAAATGCTACTCAATGATTATGAATTAAAAAGTTGTGTTTCTTGGAACTAGCATAGGACTATCAGTAAGCGCCAGACAATTTAGCCATGCCTTTATATAAAAAAAATTGTTTCGGAAATGTGGATAGCTAGCGATATTTCGGCTGGTTTAATTTTATTGGGTTTTTTGCGATTATAAGCAACACAAAATATGACTAAAACTTACCGATAAAAGTCGTGCATGGGGAACGAGGTGCAGCTGGAGATTTTGAACAGGCACTGCCCACGGTTCACCGCCTTTTCCACCGCGTTCTGGAAAGAAGAATTAAATTGATCAATAAAAATAAAACTATTTTAATGTTTGAAATATTCCCTTTCAAAGATGGACATTTGCCGATTTTTTTAAATAAGCAAGCTTTAAGAAATATGTACGAAGCGATGTTGCAACGACATAACTCAAGCTGGAAAAGTTGTAGGTACCAATACTCGCTGCAAACGTTGTTAGCTGACACTGTGAATTCATGAGGCAATATCCACATGAAACGTTTTTTTGTTCAATTCTGTTTAAAATGCAATGTGCTATCGGTGTTCAAAAATTAGAGCCAATTTTGCGGTCCAAATGTTTCAAGGATTTATAGCAAGAGGCTAAAATTATGGACATCATTTTTACGTCCTGCTTCCGTTGTTGATTCTACAATATTCAATTCAGAATTTCAGTGCCAAATTAAATATAAATTTAATTTTAAGTAGTTTTTCGGTGAATTTAAAACTTGACAAACGTGGTACAAATTTTGAAAAACATTAAAAAGTACCAGATTTTGGCCATTTTTACACGTCAAACCAATGTTTCAAGAAATTTCACAATTCAACATTTTTTCTGGTCTTTAATGAGTTCTTTTTAATGTTGAAAATAAAAACTAAAGGAAATCAAAAAAATCGTGATTCCCATTAATGCGCTCACCTGATTGTCGTAGATTTTGTTGTCGCGCAGCACGGGTCGAACATCGGTCGCCAGGCACAGCCCACCAAACTGAAACCAGGGTTGTAATTTTTAATTAAATTAAATTGTTTTAAAGCAAGATGTAGCTTTATTCGGTTTTTAGATCTTGTACTAAGTTCAGGTTGATAAAACGATCCGTGATTATTAAATCTGGGAATTTTTGTCGTCATGGCTTCGATTAGAAGGACGGATTGAGTCATAAATTTTGAGTCGTTCCAATCTTTTTGCTGAAACATAAAACTCGCGTGCGATTTTTCTTATAGGAAGTACATTTCCATATGTTTTTTATAGCGTAGAATGGAAACCCTTGAATTTGTCTAATATTTCATTTGACGACCTCAAACCACTTGGGATTAATGAAATAAATTTGTACATTTCGATGTTTTTTGATGAAACATATAGGCTATAGCTATATGAACTATTCTTTGATTTTGGTAGATTTAAGCATTTATCAAATCGCTACGTCAGTAATTATCAAATTTCGAAATCTTTTTAATTGCCGGTTGGGTAGAACATGAGATTTTCAGAGTTATTTTACTGGTCAGCCGGAAGTCAATATTGAACCCTATATTTTCCGACTTTGAAAAGCCTTGATTAAACAAAAAAAAATTAAATTTTTCCCAAAATTATATTTTATCAAGAAGGTGCTGTCCCGAATCAAGTTTTAATTCATCCTTTATTTAATTAATTTTTATCAAATTTATTTTATGTATAAGTGTTTTGAATTAATTTATTTTTATAATCAATTTTGATCTAGAGCATGGTATTAACAAAAAAAAGTTGTAGATTTCACTGTTTTCTGATGAAACTGGAAATTCAAATCTATCTGCATAAGGATAATTAGGAAGCAACTCGTTGTTAGAGTTTTTGCATCTAAAAGAGCTCGAGTGATTGCCGATTATTTTCTGCATGCTTTACCAGGTTTCTAAGAAACATCATATCTTGAAACCCCTAAAAAATTTTTTACCTTATTATGGAAGAGCTGATTGGCTTCGAGGGTGGCAGTTGCTCCGTTCGTGATTTCCACCCCGGCGGCGCGGCCCTAGAAATTTAGTTAAAATAATTTAACACGTAATAGATCATAACGCTAATTTTTGAGGAGGTCACTAGACAAAAAAATGTTCGATTGACTTATTTACCTAAGATTAATTAATGACAGAATTAAAACCAACCTCAAAGACGCGATTCCGCTTTAGGGTCGGGTTGCTCTCGGTGGAGATCAAAACGCCGGCCTGGGCATTACGGTAGATGTCGTTGTCTTCGAGCAGGCCACGACCCTGAAAAATTACAGTTGACTCCGCTGGCAGATTTACTTTACTTTTTTTTTCAAAAATTGCGTTTTTCGGTTGGTTTAAAAACAAGTTTCATAAAATCCGTCTTGTCATGACGCTTGGTTTATCATAGACACTATGGCAAATATATGTAGTTTCCCACGCTAAAAAAAGCTCAAAGTTTAGAAAGTTAAGAAAATGAAACAACATACAGTCATACATACAGATTGCAACGCCTATTTATCGAAAAAGTTCTGGCAAATAATTCTGAAATATCTCCTCTTACCTTATTAAAGATACAGACGCCACCATCACGACCATCGTATATTTTGTTGCGTCGCAGAATCGGGTGGGAGTCGGTTTTTATCCATACGCCTGAGAAACGAGAAAAATAAATGATGTTTCATGGATGCAACTTATGCCGCGATTTTTTACCGGATTAATACATGCGGTTTTCTGCTTTGTTTCTCACTCTTGCTTGCCGCCTTTTTAAGCAGTTTAGCGTGCCAAATATTCTCTGCTAGCCTGCACTGATTTTCCAAAAAAAACTCTGCTACCTTGCTCTCCCTTTGGCCTAAATTTTCCCCCAATGGTCGATGCTAGCTCCCCCGATTGGATATAGATTAATCGCGAGTCAAACAGACGTAGATTAGCCTAGGAAATAAATTCGAAATCATTATTTTTTTCTAAAACGGATTTTTATTGCTTTGTATTTCAATTTTCTGGAACTTTATTTTATTAATTGACCAGAGTCTAGAGGCTTAAAATTTAAATTTAGACGAAAGGTGATTTCAAAAAAAGCCAAAAATGTAATTTTGACAATGATTTCCTGCAAAATGAAATTGCGACAAAGTGTTTCGACAAAATGTGTACAAAAGTGAATTGCGACAAAATTATCTTTTAGCAATGGAGATGCCGCCAAGATATCCTACCTTATATAATTTTGGAGTGTATGTGTGTGTGTGTGTGGATGTGACTTTCGAGGCCCGATTTGAGGGCCTTCCTGTGCATAAAATGCTCTAATTCTCCGTCACCCGGGGGGAATCGACCCTTCTGTTTCCGATGACGTTTTCAGAATTTCGATAAAATACAAGTTTACAAAGTTAAAGGCGGTTTTATTCATTTTTGGGGGTACCTGAGGGCTAATTTGCATAATGCAAAAAATACAAACTTCCTCATTCTTGCCAGTTGCACTCGCGCGTGTGGTCGGGGCGGGGGGGGGGGGTCCGCAGGACCCGAGCTATCAGAAAGTCAAACTTTTCATGCAAAGGCCGCATTCCAGCGCCCAAGGCCCGCGAAGCGGGTTTTGGGCGCTGCTCGTAATAATAATTTTCTAATCCCAAATGTTCACTGCTAGCTCTCCCTAACCAACTAAAAAGTTAATACAATAAAACATTATTTTTAGTGCCTTTTGCTGTTAACTATGACTTAGTAGTTAATTAATGCTAATTAAGGAAATATATTTTATTATATAGAAAAACTCACCAGCCATCGCGTTGTCAAAGATCTCATTATCCTCCAACACTCCGAGTCCACCATTATAGACGAGTACACCGCCGTTTTGACCTCCCCAGATCTTGTTCCGCGTGATCTTGGGATTTGAGCCCGTTCTGAAATTCAGGATATTAAACTACTAGCAGCTACAAGAAACGGTTATCTTATGATCAAGGGATTCGATAACAATATTCCTTAATTTTATGACTGTTTTAGTCCAAGAATCCGATCAGCAAAATAATTTTACGTAAATGTGTAATTTTTGATAGCGTGTTTCAGCTACAGAGAGTGATTGGTGCATTTTTAATAGATAATATTTTCATTTTGCATGGGCAATGGTTGTTACGTATCAGGTTGGAAGGTAAGTCCTGTCGCCGAGATTTTGGAAGGCTGGCTAAAATCGTAGTCAGCTCCATTCTGCACATGCGATGTGTCATTTTGTAGCTCTCTGTCTGAACCGTTTCGGGAGGAGGGTCCTAGCCCGCCAAAATCCAGGAGGTCCGAGATACGGGCCCAAGAAGTTTTTGGAAGAATTGAGCGTGTTTTTGCAAGTTATCTCTGCATAAAGTGATTTGCATACGATACCTTTAACGCCAATCGTTGTTAACTTATTAAATTAAGTGTGTTTTATATTAGGAAAAAAATAAAGCTATTACATAATTCATTGCATATCTATTTAATACAATCAGCTATATCACAATATTCATTTTTAAATAAATTAAAATTTTTAAAAAACGTGTTTCAGCTATCCGTACATATTTGTCGGATTTTTTAATCGATAGTCCTTTCCACGTTGGAGATTTTTACAAAAATAAGTTTCGGGTAGATTAGTAAGACTTTAGTTCCTTGATTTAATAGTTTAACAGTTCCTTCAGTTCAAAATCCTTCTTCTCAAGTTTTTACTTCTAAACTATCAGAAATGTGTAAGCTTCACATACCTAATCTGGACACCAGAATAAAGATGGTTGAAGATGTCGTTCTCCTCGAGCAGTCCGTGGCCATTATCGTAGAAGTAGACGCCGACCTGCATCAGAAAAATAATGATCAATATAAAAAATTCTATCATATTGATATTTACTATCATTAACGCCTTGTCTAGAGAGATAGCGGACTTCTGCTTTAAAAAAACAATTTATTTTGCTGAAAAGATGTTTCATCATTTTGTACTACTCAGGGTTTGTGACCAGCTTGGATAACATCACACCTCTTCTCGAAAATTTTGCGAAGGGCAAGGGCTAGAGAATCTACCTTACCTTAAATTCGTAGATTTATTGAAAATGTACAAATTATAAAGACCGTAGTTAAAAAATTATAATAAGCCACGATAGGTTTTTAATCACTTAACGATTGTTTGTTTTTATTACGACTAGTAAACTATCATAAAGAAGATTTAAGCGCCTTTAAATACCGTACCTGTTTCCCGGAATGTATCCGATTTTTCCTGAGAATCGGGCTGCTTCCGGTGGTGACCCAGATTCCGGCCAGCGTATTGCCGTACACCTCGTTGTCCTCGATCAGTCCCTTGCCTTTTTCGTGCTGAAAAATGATTTAATTAGATGAACTTAAATGATCGATTAAATAATATAAAAAAAACTTATTTTTATGGGCCCGACTTGCTAAGCTCATTTTTATGAAAAAGATCTTCTTAAATTATTTAAATGAGCGATTCAGTGAAAGATGATGCCCGAAAACTAATTACTTCTCATTAACAACCATCACTCCCGCTCTAAACGATATTTTTCTGGAAATTTTTTACTTTGAAAAGTTTAGTTATAAAATTCAAAATAAAATAATAATAATAATAATAATAAAAAGTAGTATAATAAAAATATTATCTTTTGATGTTGTTTGTTTTAAAAGTGTCTATAACTATTTTTTAGTAATTTTAATTAAATAAATTTGGCAAAAGTATGATTAGGAATGAAATGTATTGTATGCATATTAGCAAACAAACTAAATATCTGGAAATAGCATACTCTGGGAAACATTTTGTTACCTACGACCTTTTATAAGCTTTTAGTTATAGTTTTATCACTTGTTTATATTTTATTAAATTTAGTAAATTAATAATATTTTAAGATGAATTAATTGATTTATAAGATGACCCTGCCGAGCATTATAGAGGCCAACAAACCACGGACATATTGTTCTTTCGAAACGTTTTTTTTAAAGTGCTGACCACATAGATGCCGCCGTGCAGTCCGTCGTGGATCTTGTTGAGGCGGACGATCGGGTCGGAGCCGGTTCGGATTTGAATACCGGCGAGCGCATTCCCGTAGATGTTGTTGTGCTCGATGAGGCCGCGCCCTTCCGAGAAGATGTACACGCCACCTGAAATGGTTCATACTTGTCAGATTTTCCGATCAATCATCTAAAAATTAAAACATTAAAATGTTTGTTGTCACAAACTCGCTAAAAATTCAATGTTTCGAGCTTAAAACCGGATCCGGTAAATTAAAATCTTCTAATCCAAAGGCGCTATTCAAGCAAATCATAAACACAATGTTGCAGGTGAAACGATAAACTAAAAATTAAAACAGTAAAATTTATAAGCCTTTGCAGCAAATTCGCTAATTTGAGCTTGACCTTTAAAAAGAAAAGTTACAAGCTGATAATCCCAATAATGATAAATTCAGTAAAAATTTAAATGTTTCAGACCAAAGCGCACTTTCTCAAAATCCCGAGCCTATAATTATGCCATCGTTCCTCACGGTGAAAAAACATAAATGTCCCAAGCTTAAGCCAAGAACTTGAAAATTCAAAATTTATAATTTCTTGCGTCCGGCCCGTTTAATGAAAATTTAAAAATCAATTTTAAGGGATAATTGTGACACTGTGAGTCTATATACAGGGTGGGCCAAAAAAAAACAACAGGTTTGGGCGCGATTGTCTCGAGAACCTTAACGAATTCATGGTGGGTTGATGGCTGAAACCCATTTTCTCGGCCTGGAAAAGAAATAAAACACAACTTGATTTTTTCGATTTTTGGCGACGTATCAATACAAATGACACCCGGAAACTGTGCGTTCCGGGAAAGTTTAATCGATAGATACCTAAATCGTAAAAATCGGAATCGACTGCGGACCGCTAGGTAGGGGGGTTTTTTTTGGGACACCCTGTATATATACCGCTGGTTTCTTTCGGCCGAAGCAAATCAAATGTTTCGAGCTTAAGCCATAGTTCAGAAAATTAAAACTCTCCAGTCGTTTGAGCAAAGATGAGTTTGAGCATCGATAAAACCCAAAAAACAAAAGCTAGAACACGATTTTTTTCATTCAGATTCAAGAAAAATGGCATTAGCAAAATGTCGTAACGCAATACCTTGAATTTAATTTAAATTAAAATGTTTTAAGCCTACAACATACACAGAAAAAGGCAATCTCGGTGGTCATTCGGTTGCCGTTTCTTGAAAAAATACAGTACCCTGGTGGCCGCTGTAGATCTCGTTCTTGCGAATCGTCGGATCGGAGTGCGATGTAATCCAAATGCCCGCAAACGCATTTTGGTAGATTTTGTTCTCCATGAATTGGCCACGGCCTGAAAATTGAAAAAGTGATGTTTTATAGCACAGCATTCTTCCGTAAATTTTATCACGCTCAATTGAGCATTGCTGGTTTCGTAAAAAATTTGTTGAAAATGCTTGCAAAAATTTGTTTCATGAAAGTTCATTATTCGGGTTTTTGATGCACGAATAATTAGTGAACCTTCAGGGTCTTAGAGTATCATCATGGTATTTAACTTAAATTTAATTTTAAATTTCTTTTAATTTAAAAATTACTACAATAACTATCTGGATTCAACAGCATAATTAGTTTCTGTATGAACCAAATAATTATCGAAAAGCGATTGAAAAATTATGTTTGATTGTAGAAGGTCGTTTTTTGGATCATTAGTAGGTCAGTGTGTCGCTTTTTTGCTGGTAATATTGTTATTTTAAGCTGCCATATGCGATCATTCAAGGCATATATTTTCTCATCACACGAAAATACTACCCTCAAAAAGTTGAAAAACTATTTTTCCTCGTAAAAAACCGTGCTTTAAATTCTCGGCGTCCAATCCTCACTGCGCCCGAGCGTATTTTCGTACATTCAAGCTACCGTGTGCCAGTATTAAAGAAATATGTATATGTTCCCGTACTTACTGATAAAAATGCTTGCGCCATAAAACTTAAAAACATGTTTCATCGTCTAATCCTACTATATATAAAAAAATAGTGTTTGTGTGTTTGTGTGTGTGTGTGTGCCACTTTGCATCCACTTCCGTCTGTCTGTCCGGAGGATATCTCGATAGGGGATGAAGTTACGGGTATGTTTGATACGTCATTAGGTGCGCAATCGTCTTGAGATGACTGCACACATATCAAATTTTACAAAATCAGCCATTTTCGACATTAAATTTAAGTTTTTGTGAAAGCTCCTTTGTTAGGAATAATTAGCATAGACCGGAAGTTGGGATTCGGCTATATATACGGTCAGAAGAGGTTGTTTTTCATTTTTGTCATCTGAATTCAGGACAATTATGCAAAGTGAACGATAAAATGGGGTTAGACGGGACCAGGGTTGAAAAGTTGCGAAGCGACTTTTCAACCCTGGTCTTCCTTTTATTTATTTATTTATTCGAATTCTTGGTGTTTCCGCTCGTATTCACTTATTGAAAAAATGTGCTTCTTCGCGCAACCGCGTTTTTTAAATACTTTTCAGCACAGTGCTCCGTTCGTCACTGACACGATAAAAAGTTCATGATTTTTAACCGACCGTATGCCAACATTATAGAGCCATGTTTTGCTAAATACTTTATCACCAAAATTTAAAAATGTGTGTTTTATCACATAAGCCTGTTTTTTGAATTTTTAGCATTACAATGGGCCTTTTTCTTGTTCGCCTTTAAAGTAGATTAAAAACTACCATATTCCAGAATTCAAAAAATCTTTTTCCTTACCCTTCTCATGCACGTAGATGCCTCCGGTTTTTCCGTGGTGCACCTCGCAACGGACAACCGTCGGATTCGCGTGATTTTTCACCTAAAAACGGCGTTGAAACGAATCAATAGATGATAGGCGGTGGAATTTTATAATTAGCAAGTTCGCAAAAAGACAAAAATAATAATGGAAAAGAAAACCACGCCTAATTAGAAAAAATCTTTTGGGCTCTTTACTATTTTTTCCGCAACATCATTTTTTAAATTGAATATTTTTCGTAATTTTTGATGGTTTGGTTTTATGCTATGAACGTTCGTTGATAAATATTAAATGCTACGAATATTAAATGTGATTACGTAAGGGTTGAGCTGATGCTAGTTTTAATATATAAATCAAAAAGTAATAATAGGTTACCTCAATTCCCGAGATGCGATTCGCATGAATGTTGCATTTCTCGAAGAAGCCCTGGCCGTATCTGCAAAAATAAGAGCTCACAAAAATAATAAAAGCCTTTTTTACTTTAATAAAGTTGAATTTTAAGGTGCTTTTGCATTATCCGGGGGGGGGGGGGGAGTTGCCTTAGTATGCAATTTTTTAAAATAAATAAAGGATACGTTTCTAAATCTTTTTTGTTATTCCATGCCAACAGACTTTACAAGTTTTTCTTAAAAAATACAAGACATATAGATCTTTCGAGCGAAACGTCAGAATTTACATAGTTTTTGGATAGTTTTTCATTTGAAACATAGCTAAAAATATATTAAAAACACTATTCAAGCACTGAATATCACGTTGCTAATCTCTGGAAATACAGGGGGTAATCCAGCTAAAATCGTTGGAGGAAGCAGGGAATTCATTAATCATTTTTCCTCTTTTTTTGCTTAAGTAAATTTTGCAACACTCACTCGAAAACAAAAATGCCGACGTCCATCCCGCTGTGGATATTGCATTTTCGGAAGAAGGGATTCGCCTGGTTTTTCACCCAGACACCGGCCAGGCAATTTCTTGCAATCTCGCATTCCTGGAAAACACAGTTAATAATTTCTTGTATTATTTCTTTTGAAAGTTGATACAATGGACAACAATCAAAAATTTAATAATACTAGCGTCAGCGTTTAGTTCAGAAATATGTTTCGTAAAAATTAAAAATTTTGATGGAATGCTTATCGGCAATACCGACTTGGCAAAAAATCCCATTTTTCAAGTTTTGTTTACTCATTCCCTTACATCCTACTATATATAAAAAAATAGTGTCTGTGTGTGTGTGTGTATATTTGCATGCACTTCCGTTTGGATGTTCCGCACCTACAGGTCCAGGGAAGCATTTTTTCGCTAGGGAAGAAACGTCATAGGGTGAAGAAGGGGCTGGAATCGACTGCACACACTTAAAAACTTTGAAAATTGACTATTTTCGCTATTAAATTTAGGTTTTTGTAAAAATCTTGGCTTCCCTCTTTGTTAGGGAAAAATTAGCATACGCCGGAAGGGGGATAGCCTATATAAAGGGACGGAGGAGTCTTTTTTCACTTTTTCTTGCTAGAATTCGGGAGGAAGCATGCAAATTTAAGACTTTCACTGATCCTTGACGGGGCCAGGGTTGAAAGGCCGCGAAGCGGTTTTTCAACCCTGGTAAATAACTCATTCAATTTAATTTTTATGCGATATAAAAATGTTTTCTATATTTAAATTAAATTTAAAACCATAAAATTGGCGGATTAGAATAGCGAAAGCCTACCTCAAAGGTGCCCTGCGCACTTTCGGTTATATAAATGCCGACGTTGTCGCAGTCGCAGATCGTACAGTGGCGTACCTGAAAATCTATTTAATTTTTTGGGTTTCGATCAAAGTAAGCACTTCATTATCCGATTAACGCCATACAGGTTGCTGTAAAATTTTGAAACATCCCAGCAAAACAATTTTTTAAATAGTTTTCCTAATGCGGCACTTCAAGTATAGCGGTTATAAAATGACGTTATATTCGATTATGCGTTTGAGAATCATTGGTTGCAAAGAGCCCAAGTACTATGACGAGGAATACTTTTAGAATCTGCCGCATGGATTGGCTTAAAGTCGGACCGAAATACCGTACCCTCGGGTTCGCGCCGGCCCGCTTCACGCACAACGCGGCTCCCATCGGCGATTTCGAGTTGATGATGCAGCGGTCGATGGTGGGCGCCGTCTCGTCCATAACCTGGAATCAAAATTTTTTAAATTTTGCGAGACCTATAAACTGAAAACCTTATAAAAAACTAATGTTTCGGATCGATATCGGAAACGGAATTTTTACAACCCCTTAATGAAACTGATCGGCCAAGCCATACAAGAAATCGGACGACCATCTTTAACAACCAATTTATAGTAACTGTTCAAAAGAATAAACAAAACAAAATTTTGAAAACTTTGGAATATTTAAAATGTCTAAATTCGCCATAAAATAATACAAATAGGAAAATAATGAGGAAATGGTAATAGAATAGTATCTTATAACGCGTTTTCAGTTATATTTCCAATTTTTACCCTTTTTAAAATCGCAAAGCGCCTTTAAATAGGGCTGCCACCAAATTTTTGATCAATTATAAAGTGATGTTTCAGATAATTTTCCGACCCAGATTTTCGGCGCAGTTTCAATTCCCTTGCATAACTCGACGCGAAAATTTTGGCAAAAGCAAAAATCGATGAAATCGGCATTAAAAAAATTTAATTTTTGAGATGAGCGGGGTTGCAATTTGGCAATTACTAGTTAAACGGGAGGCATCTTAAGGAATCCTTTAATAACACGTACCTGTACGGCATAGTACTGTGGATGCGGGGCGTTGGGTAGTGCAACGTTGGCATTATTCGCCTGCGCCTGTGCCATCATCTGGGCTGGCGGGTCGGGCACGAATCTGAAATGAACTCATTGATAAGGAAAAAAGTAGCAACATGGAGATTTGCATCAAGTTTAGTACCCCAACTACACAAAAAACGCTGGAATACGATATTCCAGATTGGAAAATGATCTCAGAAAAAATATGTTTCATGAAAAAGTCAATAGGAATATTTCCCGACGGTAACAGTTTTTTATAGAAACGCATCATATTATTCCTGACTTTTAATGGCTTGGACTTTGCAAAGGTCAAATATTTGCAAATGCGTTACAAAAACTAGTAAAATGAGCTAAAATTGAAATTCATTGTCTGCTGGCGGCTGGCCGATGTTGTGAAAAATATATATTTCATACAAGCCCTAGTATAAGATAACAGGTTGACCAATAATTATGCTGCGCATTTAATTCACTAATCTAATGGCTGAATTTTATCCCCTGCCCTAACTACCGTACCTGATCGTCATATAGCCGACATAGGCCCCTGTAGACCCTTCAACAAGCGCCAACGTCGTCTCCGTTTGATTTTCGATGATAACTCTCCGTTGCACCGGGTGTGTTGGGGCTGAAAAGCAGAGCATAAGCCATAATATAAAATAATAAATAAATATAATAATAAGTATAATTCCAATACTAAATTTTTATCTTTATTCGTAAACATATTATTCGTAGCTTGCTTGGTTTTTTTACCTACGTACAGAAATGGACAGAATTGAGCTAAAACATTTTTTATAATTTTTAAAGTTCATGAAACAGATTTTTTGGTCTCATAAAATCGTGCTTTCTTCTTTCAACCGGTTCTTAATTGAATAATGCGTTGAAGTAAACATAATTATTCAGTTAATTTTTTAACAAATCAATCGACTTATAAAATGACGAATACTTTTGGGATCTCGAATTGAGTTCAACATTTTTCAGTGATTCTTAAATTTTTGAAAACCATTTTTTATTTTTATGCGCATGGAATTAAAATAATAACAGCCGAGCCGAATGCATCGAATTTGGGCGCCTTGGGTCCGGAGTAATTCATATTCTATAAAATTTTTAACACTGTAACAGATTTTTCAAATAAATGATTGTTAATTAACCATTTCTTGGACATTTTTCTACAAAGTATAATGGCTAAAATCGAATCTAATCAAAAGCTATAGCTGAAAAATCCGCTGAACTCACCGGCACCGATGATCTGCACCGGCAGGTCGATGGTGATTGAGGGGGGCTGATAGGTGCCCTGGTGGACGAAAATTAGCTGATTTTGAGCAGGGGCTGCGCGGACGTGTCTGAAAAATACAAAATAATGACTTTCTCCCTCTCTCGCTCTCTCTCTCTCGCTCTCGCTCTCTCTCTCTATTTTTAATACTTACTGCAATGCTCCTTCCACAGTATCAAAATGCAACATTCTCCTGCCGGGATTCCCGGTGTACGTCCTCGCCTCATTTGGTCGAACGTGGATGCCGTGACGCTGAAATTGGAACGCTTACATTTTTAAGATATGCTAATTCAATTTAGCCACCTCTTAAGATGATAAAAATATCGCTAATTTACAGTTGCAAGGGGTCGAAAGAATGTTTCAATTTTAAGGTATACTGGTCTGGTGAACCTAAACACTGGTGTTCTGAACTGACTAAAATAACCATATTTTAATGTTGTTTAATTCTAGGAAGACTGGTTGCATAAGCGAGTGCCTTAATTAAGATTCTATCCAAAAATGGACGTGATCAATTAAAGGTCGTATCCAGCAAAAAACAATGAGGGCTCCACGATTTTATAATACATCATCGAGGCAAATTGTGGGAGAATTTGAGAATGTTATTGGCGCCAATAATAAATTGCCGAATTAGTAGATGCTAAATACCATGTACGATCTATAAAAACAGTAAAATATTGAAAGTTTTTTACTCAAAAATTGCTCGAAATTAGTAACTAGTCACTGGATTGGTTCTTTAGATAGTAACACTGAAACATACCAGTTGTTTGAAGCTCTCCTTCCACGGATTCATCTCCTTCCAGCGGCCCGGCTCGCGAAACTCGAATTTCCCGTAGGCCGGATGGTAGAGGGGTGTCGCGTACTCGAATGCTTCTTGGTAGAGGGCTTTCCTGAAATCGGGGTCAAATATATGGGTTACAATTTCTATTAATAAGCATTAAAAATATTTCGATTTTTCTACGGTCTTTCGAGGCTCCACAAATTCTATTTTTTTGCATAAGAACACGAAAATTTACGGTTTTCTTGATGTTTTCAGGTAATAAAAACAGCCACTCAGTTTCCATTGCACAATATGAAATCTACCGAGACTGGAAAAAATTTGAAACCTTTTTTAATGGCACCAAGAGGTCGGGAAAGGCTCTAAAGGGGCGGGTAAAGCTACGTTCTATCCTTTCCTAGCTATGGATTTTTTACGGAGGCGCGACAAGCCGGGTAGGGCTGGAGTTTTGCGGCGTCATGGATTTAAAAACTCTTATTCCATAGCTAACAAACTCCATACCTAGCTCACGCTTTTGACTCCTAGTGTATTTCACACGTAAAACAACTAAAAATGTGACTATAAATAAAAATATTTGGACATAGCGGTCTTCAGTTTGGGCCAAGGGGCTAGAAAAATTGCCTTGGAATCTGATGTTTCACCAATATAGGTCTAGTGTCAGAAAATAACTCAGGAATGTTCATCGGGTTTCGGGATTTACTTTTCAAAATTTTCCGAAATATATTACTTAATTATGGTTAGTTTAATAGCAAGTACATACCATGTATTCTGGTCGTTAGCCGCTCGGTACAGTCGCCGGGAGACGAGGCCCAGGTTGGCCAGGTCGAATTCGTACAGGTAGGAGCACACCTAGAAGTTTGTTCATTATGTTAACCCGTGTGAAAAATTAAGGTTTCAAGAATTATAGGGATAAGCAAATATTTGAAACCCTGAATTACTAATTTAAAAACTCGTTAGTAACTAGGGGAATAGATCTTATTTGATCTGTAAAGATTTTTAAAAATTCTAATTATCAAAAATTTTGATGCAGGCAATGCCAATGGAATAAGGATTCTTGATGTGTTTCACGCGTAAAAAATTAGCCTCTCCAATTCCTTGTTTAGAAAATATTTTGAAAAATGTTTCGTCCTTCCAAAAAATCCCAGAGAGTTAAAAATCGCTAGTAAGGGGTTTGTGGTTCATATAATCATATTTTAATACGAGCTTGTAAGAATTTTATATTGTAAGATTGTGGGATTTATAGATTTGGAGGAATGCGTTAGTAAAAATAAAAAGAAGTCTTACTCAGAAAAAATTGATCGATTCGGGCGCGTTTTCAAAAAATCTTATGTATTTGTAAAAAATGTTTCAAACTTTCAAGCAAACCCTGAGAGTGCAAAATTTCTAATCGGGGGTTTGAATCGTTCTCCTCTAATATATTCGGAGATAAATTTTGTAAGATATATTTTTTAAACCAACTTATCGAGGATTTAAAATTTTAATAAACTTTTTTAAACTTTAAAAATATAAACCAACGCATTTTTGAAAATTTAAAAATATCTGAAAGCTTTTAATAAAATAATATACTAATTAAACCATCAATTAAGTGCTATTAAAATCCAATCGATACCTTTGACAGCAATTCCTCGGGTAGCAGCTCGATATAGCAGTGCCCGTCATCGGAGGGGCCCACGTAGCCATCGTAGTTTGAGCTGGAAAAGGGTTTATAATGTAAAAAATTTAAATAAACTTTTTATAGATCTATTTCGGCTTTTTACCATATTTTAATAAATTTAAAGAGCACAGAATTATATAAAAGCATGGACCTTGGTTTTGGCCGTAAAATGTTACACATTTTTTTTGAAGGTCTGTGAGTATAATCGGACCACCGATTGACCTTTTTGCGTGTTTCGGCTATGTTTAGTACCTCGTAGCATCTTTTTTCCAGGCAAATTTTTTTTGCAGTTCGTTTCTAGAAATGATGTGGCAACATTTCACACCATTATGGAGCGAAAGGTTACACAGATGTCCCTTACTCCTTTTTCTTATCCACGCCAGGTTTTTACTAGATTCTTCCGAGATTTTAAAAAAATTGGGGCGACGTCGTTAGCTTTGCATTTTTTATGGCAAAATGTTACATCCTTTTTATGGATTCCGGCGGTCTCCTTATCACTAATCATGCGTCGTTCTCCAACTATTTTACGAACTTGTAACTTTTTTTGAGGCTACAAACAAGCTAGATGGGACCTTAGATCTCATAGTTATTTTTTGCATATTTATCCGGCTTTGGAATCCTAAACTAAAAATGTTTCAAAAAGTACTGATGCGGAATTCAAGAAGTTTCGTTTGTGTTTGAGTTTATTTCAAAGAAGTTAGAGTTTCGTTTAGATTCCAATAGTAATCAGATTTGAAACACACTTTTTTATTTTTAGTATTTTTTTTGTCTATCAGGTTCACTTTTATCTTTGAGTTCATCTTTAATCGTATTTGGTTATTGTTTTTTACCTAGTTTCCGAAAATTTATTTAATTTAATTAATTCGAATTCCCCCAACCTCAACCCAGACGGCCCCTCAGGTTTTATTGACCCGCCGACCGGCCGTAGGGGGGATCACTGGCCGGTACGGTCACTCTACCCCGCCAGAGGGGGCAACATTTAGCAAACAGAAAAGTTGACGAAAGTTGATGCGGGGATTTTTGGCACGTTCTTAGAATACTGCGCTTTTGCAAGAAAAAAAACCCTAAAAAAACCCACGCTTAGAAGAGCCAGCGACAACCGCATTAAAAATCAGTTCGGAATCTAACTCGGTTGATTTTTCGAAACACGTTTTTCCAAAGTAAATTTTCAATATTTGAAAATATTTACACCAGCAATATCAACTCTGGCTCAAATCGAATTATCAACCTTTCTCTATTTTTAATTACAGCATTTTATAAAACATCTTTTCCGGGCTAGAAACATAATTTTCGTAAAATACTTGCTTTTATTAATAAATTCTTGACTTTAAACTAATCTTATTTGACTACCAAAAACGAACCAGAACTAAGAAATTAATTCCCTTACTAGTTATGAAATTTCATGAAACATGTTTTCACAGCGCTTAAAAAAGTATTTATGTAAGGTTGAAATTTTCAGAATATTTTAATGAATCCTGAATCTGGACAGTATAAAATAAAATTAATATATGCAAATCGAGTGATTTTTATTTTTTTAGGTCGATACACGACATGATAATTTTAAATGCTCCCCGACTCGGTTCGGGGGCATGTTTCCCCATCGGCTGGCTGCCTGTTGGTCTGTTTGTGGTATGCAAATGGTGGTATGCAAATTGTTGCCTCTTTGCGAGGGAGAAAGAGGAGGGCCGGGAATTCCACTTCACACCTATGCACACTTGAATCGTGACATTCCGCCGAACACCAATGGACACACCGACAGACAGATGGGAGATGATCAGTAGCGAGGGAGAGAGAGAGAGAAAGAGAGAGAGAGAGATAGAGAGAGAGAGAGAGAGAGAGAGAGAGAGAGAAAATGGGGGAGAGACTAGCATATTCAAACAATTTAAGGGATTTCTAATATTATTTTGGAAATCGTGATTGCGTTCCACTAACGTTAACCAATTCGTTTTTTGTACTTAATTTCCTGAAACTCACTTTTTCCTCGCCTCGCCCGGTGACTCGGCCTTGAAGCGTTTGCATTGGTGCGAGGAGGGCTGCTGAAAAATAATTTGAATTTTAATTTGACAAGGCTAATTAAATTCATTTCTTAATTTAATAAACTTTATGGCATATATATATATATAAAAAAGTGCTTGGGGGCAACTTACAACCGGCGGTAAAATACTCCGACTAATCCACTGTCGATTTTGCGTGCATTGAGCTATTTTTTTAAACTTTTGCATCAACTACAGTACAACCCCCCCGATAACCCCCGAGCGATTTCGGACTTCTCGGTCCCTTTAAACCCGACTTGCCGTGCAAATATTCCGATTTGGTGTTTAAAATTCTCGTTTTCCGTGTTGTATTTGGAGTGAGCATGTTGTGTGCCCTATATCGGCCATTCTCCCCCATTTCCCTCTAGCCATTCCTTCCTTCCTTCCCATTCTTCTTTTCGAAAAGAGGGCTAGTGCCTAGTACCGTCTCATCCTATCCCCCCCCAGCCTAGATTTGCTGCCCCCACTTTTCCATCCCCCCTGACCACCCTCAACATAGCCAACAATCCCCTCCCTTCCTTTCCCCCTAAAAGTGCAACATTGATTTTGCACCCGCGCAAAGTCCTAAAGGACCATTGAAGCGAACCGGGTCAGAAATCTATAGGCATCCTTCAGGAGCTGCATAGAAGTAAATGCAATAATTTATGTTTCTTTAAATTAAAATTAAGAAAAGTCTGATTCTTTCGAATTATCGCGGGGCCAACCTCTTGCTTCGTATCGAATTTTTGAAACATAAATTGTGCAAGTGTTTCTAAGCGGTTTTCTTACTATTCCTAAACGCAAAAACCTTACAAAATTTATTTTAAAAAAACCTCAATAATTTCGTTTTTCGACCCGCTTTTGCCCAAAATTCCGGGTTTTTTTCGAGTTTTTATGGTTTTCTACTTACAACGTAGTTTGATTTTGCTAAAAACACAATTAAAAACTTTTTATGAAGTTACTAGACATTTCCATATTTATTCAAAAAAAGTTCGGTCCCCCGATAATCCAAAATCACCAAAATCTAATTAAAAATCGTAAAAAATATATGGAAAGGTTCCAGGCGTCTTTTTTCGGCGTAAGGCAATTCGGCTTTAAAAAGTTTAGACACTAACACTAAATTGAAAAAAAATTCAGATGTTCTTGATGGTATTATGATGAAACATTTTTTATATAGAAAAATCAGCTATATCTCTCGAAAATCCACATTTAGGTATTTTAAAAAATCGGCAAGTTGTTTTTTGTCATCGAAATAATTGTTTTGGAATTGAACGAGGGAAGGAATAAATCCATCAAAAATAGAATGCAAGTCGAAAAAAAACGTCAATGCAAGTTCTATTCGGCGTCTGGAATATAAATCAAAAAATGAGCCGAGAAAGTTCAAAATTCGAAACTTATTTTTATAAATTCCGGAATGATTAAATTAATATGAAAATAATTTTAATGAAATGTTTCTCAAAAACGAACCTCGTCAGCGGTTGCAGCGAGTGTGCTGGCACACGATCCCTCCTCATCTTTCTGCTGGATCGATCGACGGCGTCTCAGGGGATATCTGCTGGAAATCGGGTACTGTAGAAAATAATAAAGTATATTTAGTCGTTTTTTAAATAATGGATATTTAATAAAAACAGGCTATTTTTCAATGACTGATGAACTAGTGTGCGCCTCCGAGGATAAATAATACCCTTAGATGCAACATCATTTTTGAAACTGAAAAATGCGTCGCCCCTATGGCGATCAACATTTTCATTTGATGAAATATCATTTTTTAACCAGAAACAATTCTGCAGGTATGTATTTTTTGTTCTAAATTCATTTCATATTTGAATTTTGTAAAACAAAAAGTATATTTTAGCCTTAAATAATAAAGTTGACAAATTATGACATCTGATACCTTTTCAACGTGGTAGCCTTCGGGCCAACGACCTCTTCATTGGCCACGCCCAGCGCGAAGGTGTCGGAGCTCCCGGAGGAGCTCGAGTGTGGAGATTCATCGCCATGCTGAAATCAAAATATAAATATAGATAAAAATTTTGTTTCTGTATCAGAGTTATTAATTTTAAAACGTATTTTAGAAATTCCTACGAGAAATATTGCAGCGCTCAGAATCATTTATCTCTTGAAAAAGTCTTGTTTCAAACAAAGTCATTTAAGAAGGTGTGGACAATAATACATTCTCTTTTGCCAGCTTTCCATGTTTCGAATAAATATGTTTATTTCTGTTATTTAAACTGTTGAAATTTAATAAAGAGTCCGCAAAAAAAAGTATTTCTCGATTTACAGCGTATTTATTATTTTTTTGCGTGATAGTGCAGATCTTGCTTGGTGCCAAAAAATGCATTTTCGTGAAAAGCTAAAATGCTATTTGAGTTGTTTGATTCAAAATTTATTAAAAATGAACAATCATTGCATATCACTCCATTGAAACTAAAGGATTTTTAGACTTTTTAAAAAATTCTTTGGTATTTTGCAAAAACGTGTTTTAGAAATGGGCCGTTTTGTCTTGTTTTGTTTTTGTTCTACTTTGTGCTCGAGCTAGGTTATCAATTTCCAAAAGTTTAACTTCATTTTAATTTGGACAAAAGAGTATCGATTACTTACCGGCGACTGGTTGCCAGCCCAGGGACCGGGACTCGGGGGGTCGTCGTTTTTCGGCGGCTCGTCCATCTGGAACACATTTTTTTTAATTAAGTAAGTTTCCTATTCAAATATATTTTTAATTAAACCGCAACTCTAATTTGTCTATAATTTTCCAAAAAGATAAATTTTACTAGCCGACATCATCTTGCTTGAAAAAAAATATAATAAGGTGATAAATAACGCATTAAAATATGATATTGTAATTGTCCAATAACTAATTTTAGTAAAAATTTTATGTTTCGAAAACCGTAGCTTACCTAGTCAACCGCACTGACGAGAGACCCGAATGAGGAGCCGACAGGAAAAACCCGGAAACAGAAATTAGTGTGGATCGGCCGAGTTTTCGGGGGTACCTGCAAGAAAAACATGTTTCAAATCAAATAAATAATCGAAGCCATTTATAAGCGAAGTTCTTGACGTCGGTTCAACTAATAATAATAATAATAATAATAATAATGAAAAAGTTGCGAGAAATAAGCAAAATCAGCTTTAAAAAATTGTCTTTGTGGGTCTGGGAAAATAGGCGAATTTTGAACGTAAAAATACTGGTAACCGGTAATTTTTAAGTTATGAAAGCAAAATTTGCGGCGCCTATAGATACGCTTCTTCAAATTGAATTGAAAAGATGTTTCTCGGAAGTAGTATCCCAAACAAAATTTTGGACTGATATTAATTCTTAGTAGATTATTCAATTAGAGACGGAGATTCAATGTTAGAAGCACTGTGCAAATTGAGGAATACAGCACCAATTTCCTGACAAAATACCGATATTGTTTTTGTTTCGTTGTTTTGATTCCTGTCATAACGATAATTAAAGGATATGTTTCGTAGCAGTGGTTTGTCAGGAAAAAATTCTGCTGCGCAATGGGATCAATCAATTTTAATGTAGCATTACATTTTAATCCCATTTGGTATGTATAGCCATAAATAGGGCCACCTGTCGATGCCAAAAATGCCCGGAGGTCAAATGGTTATTCAACACTACCCCCAATTGCCCCAAGGTCACAAACGCTTCGGCTATTACCCCCCGCGTGCCCCTTCATATCGATCGATTTCCCGACAAGAATATAATCCAAATTTTATAAAAAACGATTGATTGAGATACTGTAGTGAAAATTATAATTAAGATGGTATACCTCAGAGATGAAATTCTAAAACATTTAAGCAATTTTTGGGGCTTTGGGAAGGTATTACACCTGGAAAATGACATAGCGGAATAAAGCCCGACAGCCAAATGCCGACAAGCCAAAATCCGGACCATGATAATAGATAGCCAAAATCCCGACAGCTAAATCCAAAAGCCAAAATCCTGGCGTTCGAGGTCGTCAGTTTTACCCATAGTTCGATTTGCAAATTGTCATTCGGTAGCATGCACCTCGGACCCATTTGGTGTGAAACATTAAAATCGTGATTTTGCAAATTTTTGAAAGCCGAAATTTTGAGAACAAGAGCGAAATAGTTGCCAGGAAAAATTATTCGGCCAAATGCAATTTTTTGAAACATTAAGTTCTTTCGTTAAAGTCTTGTTTAGAACGATCGATATGGTATGAAAATAAGCTTGAGCATAGAAAGTGTATATTGGCAGCAAAATACTGAAAAAGTAGCTTAAAATTCACATAAAATTCTTTCTAAATTATGGTAAGATACGATAAGGTATATATTGGTATCGAAATACACAAAAAAAAGATAGCTTAATAATCGCATAAAATGAAGAATATCAAAAAGTGGACGAATTCATAACAAGATAATAAGAAAATCGACAGCGTAAAGTATGTTTCGTAGCTTTAATAGTATCTCTTTGACAATATATTTCGATATAAGTGAACAAAATCCATTCTTTCAGTGTGTTCTGTCAGTGTCTGTCTGTCCTGTCGGTGTCTGTCCGTCTGTCTGTGTATGTGGTGCTGTCTCAGCCTCGCCCTAAATCGAATGGAGAAGCAGGCCGATTCGGGGCCGCCGTGCCGACCCCCTCTCTCGCCCCTCTCGCCCCCTCTCCGGTATGCGTGCTCTCTCGCTGGGTCCTGTCCCTCTCCCCTCTCTCTTTGTCTCGTGCTCTCTCCCCCTCTCCCAGACATCGATTGCACCGGGGCCGGCTGTCTCTGTATCTCGTCTTCTATGCACTCTCTCACTCCCTCGAAACCCGAGGAAAATCGAGACGTACAGAATTCTTCAAGATCGTAGCTGTGTGGGAGGGAAAGTATCTATTAAATCGGGGGATGGGGTAGTTAATGGATACCTTGAATTTCACAAGCTAGAGAGTATAGAAATGTTTTTATAATTTTATAATTTATAATCACATACAAAGGGGGATCGTAACATTTTTAATTTTGAAACGCAGATTGTGGGGGAAGGTATCTATTAAGTCGATTATAGACGGCTACTATTATTAAACAATTCTCCACCCAAGAGTTAGCTTTTTTTGTTGAAACATTTTTTTACATTTGTAATCCAAAGTTGCGCCTAATTTGGATAGTTTTTAGCTACAGAAATTCCAAGAAGGTCAAGGACTTGCTCGAATCGGAGGGCATTTTCGGGGAAGAAGTAAACGAGTTTTGGCCGGAAAAACAATTCGGTCACGCTTCTCCAAAAATGTTGGGCGGAGAAATCGTGAAAAAAATATGTTTGAAAAAGCTGCCACCCGTCGCGATTTTTTCTCTTTTTATTGGATGACCTCCGTATCGAATCTCGGCCATCGAAAAAATCAGCCGTTTCAGGGTTACTAATTACGGTAGTAGCCTATAATTTCAAAAGTTCATTGCCAATTATGTATGTAATAAAAAATTATAGCGTAGCTATATATTATGGATCGTGCCCTACACACACGTCCATAAATGGGTGGCTGGTGGCTGGTGGTGCTCCTCGTATCTTGGAAGCAGGAGGAGATCCAGTCCTTCACCCTCCCCTTCCTCTGGGATATGCCATCCACACCGTCTGTCTGTCTGTCTGTTTGTGTGTCTACATGTCTGTTCGTTTTGTAAAAGAAATACGGTCAGACTCACAGAATATTTAAAAAAGATACGTCTATGTAATATTGGAAATATCCAAAAATTTGTAATATTTTTCGGATAAAACATTGCATTTTTCAAGATTTCGGGATAATTTTTCTATTTATATTTATGTTTAAATTGGAAATACAAGTTCACGAAATTAGATGCTCGGATTTACGAATTCCATCAAAATCGTTGAAACGTCCTTTTTAGAATATTGCAATCAATATTGCAATTTTAGAATTTCGATTTAAAAAGTAATTTTTTTAAGTTTCAAACCGAAAACACGATCTGTTTTTCGGCTTGCCCGTCTATCCCTTTTTCAGACAAATCGGCGTCTTTCATTAAAAAGGTTCCAATGTGCCGATTAATCAGGGAGCGGGTTCCTGCTACGGTGTTGCGGGCAAAACACATTTTCATATGGGTATTAAGTCTGCGGGTTGTGGATATGTTATTCTTCGCATTTTGACATAACCACCGTTGGCATTATTTAGTATCTCGTTCAGTCCGTAGTCGGCATTTTGTCGGTATTTCACTATTCACAGCCTTAGTCAGTCGATATTGTCGGTGTTTGCAACATCAACTTAATTAATAAAACACCTTTTTAGGATATGGTCCATTAACTGTAAAGTGTTTTTACGTCAATCACAGGGCGGCGGTTCGAGCCCCCGCCCTGCAACACTTCTTTTGCTTTTTGCATAACTAATCTAATTTTTTATCTTAAAAACCTGTTTTGACCTGTAGGATGTTCTTCTAGAGAATGTCTAGTCAATCTTGACGTTGAAATGAATCAAGGAAATCGTAAACTATAACCATACCCTTATTTTGGTGAATACTCAGGTCATAACTGCCGTATAACTTTCGAAATAACAGTCCGTAGCAAATTTGGAGAACGGATTCGAGATCAGCAAAAAATTCCGCACAAGATGCACTTGGCCTCGAATCGAAACATGTTGTATTAACTGTATTAATCTGGAAATCCTGGAATCTACACAAGGGTGTTGCCCGAAACACATTTTCTGACGGCATCGTTTCGCATTGCGTTCGTTGCGCACACGGTAATCCCTGATCAATTTAGCGGGCTATCGGTATTCCAATGTCGCTATTTTGATACCAATGCGCATATTCAATCAAAAAAATGGAAACTTTTTGTGATCTGGCAGAGAGGACGATTAAAGGGATAGGGGCGGCATAAGTCAATCGATTACGCGTGGGAAAGAAAATGTCTCTGCGCCTCTCCCCAGGGCGCGCTCTCTCCCCTGTTGGCTACTTGCCAATTTGTTGATGGGGGGGATCGACACATGCCGTCCGCAGCCCTTTCATGAACAATGCAGAAAGATCATTGATAGGCCTTCCATTAAACCGGAAATTTTTTCTCTAGACGGCGCCAAGGTTAAAAACCCATTTTTTTCATGAGTGATTTAGGTCTGTGGGTTGTCTGTATTTTAATCACGGCATTTTAAAGATTTTTGAACAGAACAAGTTTAGTAATCAGGAACTCCGAGTTCTGGAAAGGTGGGTGGCACAGAACACATTTTTTTCTTGTTTTTCCATCAGCCATCGGGGCTAACGCATTTCCCGCAGCAGCTTGTGGCATAAAAGCTGCCGGCATTTGGTCGATTCGTAGACGGCGTTTTGTCGGTATTTTCATTGATTGAAAACCCTTCCATCGTTATTTTTTGCCCGAAAATCCCTTTACCAGAATCTGAGGTTTTGTCACTTTTTGATGAAATATCAACTGCGTAGTAGTAAGGAGATTCGAGTCGTTCAAAAGTGGCTGGCTCAAAACACAATTTTTTTTTATTGTTTTCCCCAGCAAACTGGGTGGCGGATTGCCCAAACCGGCTTTTGACAAAAAAGTTGTCGGTATTTTGTCGGTATTTTCGGTGTCGAATGGCTCAATTAAGTTCGAAATTTAGTCGGGGATTTTCACCGTCATCGTCTTTAAACAAATATTGACAGTTAGTAGTTCCAATGAGAAAATCCTTGATCGAGCCGGCGGGATGTCGGGATTATTATACAAATCCGAATATCTTGTAAAAATTAGAAATTTAAAATGTGGCGGCAAGGACGACTAATGAAAAAAATCAATAAAATTAAGTAAAATGAATCGACGTTGCATCAGGCTGGCAATGTTCGCTCTAGACGGTGGCTGGGCCAAAACACATTTTTTCACGGCCGAATTAAACCTGAGAAATTCTTGAGGTTCGGCAGAAAAGACGATTAATGTGGCAATTGCGCCATTGCACGGTCTTACATCAATTTGGAAAATTTCGCCCTAGACAGCGTCGCGGCTAAAACACATTTTTTCTCTTGTGCGAATTCAGCCCGAGCATACGAATGTGCAGGTATTTGAATGTCGGCATTTATGCAACTCTTGAAGTATACGGACTAGTAGTCAGTCCGCCCCAAAACACAATTTTTTTCACGGCTGTGGTGTGTGGGTATCAGGAAATCGCTCGGCGTGACATTAAACAGGGCATTTTAGCCCTAGACAGGGTCGCGGCTCAAAGAAAAAATTTTCACGGCTGAATTAAATGCTGTCGGTATTATAATGTCGGTATTAAAACTGGAAGATGCAAGATCAATTTCTTTGTCAGTTTGATCCATTTTTCATCGGGACTTTTAGAGAAATTTAGAGTATATTAGTATGGCAGTTGCCGTCTTCGAAAGTGTATGGCCCAAAACATATTTTTTCTTGTTTTCTCACCAGCCGTCGGGGCGACTCATTTCCCGAACTGGCTGCTGTCGTCGGCGGCTGGGTATAAAATGTGGAGGGAGGATATTGGACGAAATGAGGGCTGGAAATGGGGGGATACGAGCAGGAAGTATTGCCCACCCACACTCTCCATCTTTTTGGAGAGAGAGAGAGGGAGAGAGAGAGAGGGAGAGAGAGAGAGGGAGAGAGGGAGAGAGAGAATGAGAAAGAGAGGGCACGAGAAGCCGATGAAGGAGAAAAACAGGGGGTGAGGGGTGAGGGCTACTTCCTCATAGCTCCTTTCCCGAGCCGTTAGGTATTCAGAAAAGCCAGAATTTTTGGGGGAGCTTGCACAAAATGTGTTTCACGAGAGGAAGGGATCCGCTCCAAAATTAAAATACGATGAGTTAGAACACAGCGAGGGTGAAAATTAAATTAACTTTTTTATTTTTAAAGAATCCAATTTTTATAGTATTTACATTGTATGTAATTCTTAAACTATGCAAAAAGAATTGTGTGTAAGTGTGAGCTTGTCTTGCAAAGGGAAGATACTCCATCAAATGTTTCAGCCATAATTAAGACTCAATGCATAATAAAAATTATTAATGGAATATGGCTGTCCTCGGTCTCGCCAAGCTTATTGAAGCGCTGGCGATCTTATAAAATCGGCATTTCGAGGAAAATTGGCACCTTTAGTAAAAAACAAAAAGCTTTGAATTTGTCCCCAAAATTCCTAAAGAATCTCAGGAAATTCAGATCTCTTAAAGCATACAGCACACGGTATTTCTGGGGGAGTTAAAAAAATATGTTTCACTGCAGAAACGTAGCCAATGAAGAGCCAATAGCTTAATATTATGAGGATCCTCAGGCGTGTAAATTAACCGTAAATTCCAGGTTTTTTAGTGATGCCGTTTTGAAAATGGAAAACCAAAACTTTCAAAGGACTAAACGTAATTTTGTTATCCGGCAAAGCTTACGATTTCTACAGAATAATTTGCAAAGATAATGTTTCATCAAAAAAGTAGTTTGATGGAAAATGAAAAGAAGAATGGCACTGGCAAAAAATCAGAATATCAGTATTTTCGGGACTTTCGCGTTATCGGGGGGGAGAGGAAGAGGTAATTTTTTCCTACATGTCCAGAAATGCCCAGCAAGGTATTGCAAATTTGTCAGCAGTATTTTGAGTAAAATTTAACTATATTTTCAGTGGAAAAATCGAAAAATTTTGATATTGGGTTGATGAAATGATATTTTTGGTATTTTTGTGCTAAAAGTCTGTGAAGTCTTTACGCCTACGAGTAGTAAAAAAAACAGTTTAAGAGCACTTCCTCTATTTCGATACCTCTATCTAAAGGCTGCAAAGAAAATGTTCTAAACTACAAACGCCACAGAAAAAATGTTTCAAGCAAAAATTGAAGCGGGTAGGGAATAAAAATCTTAATGAAGGGTCACGGTAGAGGCTAATGGAACTGATTGTTCCAATTCCCCAAGAATCTCTGCTCGTTCCCCCAAATTCCTAAAGAATTACCGATCATTGCCGGAATTCCTAAAGAATCATTGCGCGCGGCCCCAAATTCCCAAAAATTCTCTGCTCGCTTAGAGCCTTTGCTAAAGAATCACTGCTCGCTATTTCAAATTTCCCACATAAATCTCTCGTTCAGCGCCAATTCCTCAAAAATCTTTGCTCGTTCCACAATTTCTAAAAAACTGTTCGTTACCGCCAACTTCCCGAAAATCTCCGCTCCTTTACCGCCAAATCCCACAAAAATCTTTGCTCGTTACCTCCAGTTCCCAAGGGCTCTTTGCTACCTGTTTCTAGACCCATTTTCAGGCTGCACCCAATAGAGAATATTTGCATAACAATCCAATTGTTCGGATTGCGTGTGAATCCCTAAAAAATCCCATTCACCAAATGTAAAATATGAATTTTTGATTTCAAAGCTCTTCGTGGAGGTTGGAAAAATGAAAGGTGAGCAGATTGCCGCGGAATTTGCAGCCGATCGGAATGCGGGTCGTTTGCTTGGTGGGTTCAAATTTATGCGACAGGAATGGATTACTACATATCCAAAACGCGCTAATCAATTAGTTTTTGAGAAACATTGATTTTTTAAAATTGAGCAGGGGACTGTTTTTTGAAAAATTTAGACGATGCTAATTCGTTCCGCATCGGAAACGCGGGTTCTTTGGCATTAACGAGGGGAGGGGGAATCAGGGTAAAACCCATTTCTTAATCTAGATTTTATAATTAAATAGCTGAAATTGTTCGACTTTCACTTTCACTATCTCTAACCGCAAAAACCTCACATTTTTAAATACCGAAAAATAACGATTTTCCACCAAAATGCCGTTTTTGATTTTTTTGATTGCTTAGAATTTTAGATAGTGTTTCCACGCAAGTATAGACATTTTACTAAAAAATTTAGATTGCTAATATTACCTTATTAAGTATTTCCGGACATACAAAGTTTCGGCCCCCCCGATAAGGCAAAAGAACCAAATAGTTTCTTGCTATACTGTCACATAATTCCTTACGAAGGGACACTCTGAGCAATTATTTTTGCTGAAACATATTTTTCTAAACTTTTCGTCAGCTATGACCTACGAAATGACGCTGCATTAACTCAATACCGCGAACAGTAACGCCCACGCCACTCGGTCAGGCTGTCCTGAACGACTCATAACCGATTACGCAATCTAACGCGGGCGTATGCGCTGCGTGTCACGGATGTGGTAAAATTCAAAGCAAATTAAATTTTGAGGATATTCGATGGATTAAAAATCATAAGCAAAAGATGCACTGCCCAAAATAAAACTAAACTTTACTGAGAGATTCTTTAAACATTCTTTTTCTAAATGTTGACCTGGTTTCAAATTTATTAGCCATCGCGGTTTTACGCGGAAATGAATTTTAAGAAAATTTAAATGTTGTTTAAGGAACAGATTTTAAAAAATCAAAAGCTTTTCACAACAACATTTTTGAAAATTTACAAGTTTTTTAAAGTTTTAAGCATTTTTTACCATTTTTAGTTGGTTTGCACAGCCATATCGTCAGTGCTCTGTGGATATTACGGTAAGTAGCGAAGAAAGTCAAAACACATTTTTCGCGATTTCCAGCGACATGCCCCGGGCAAAACGAGGAGATGGGATGTGCGGGTTGTGAACCGAGCTGCGAGAAGCCCAATCCGGTACCGTAAGCCTGAAATTTGTGTGGAAGCGATCAAACCGTCACGTCACCGTCACCGTCAGGGTGTCGACAGCCACGGCTGGCTTCTAACTACGCGTATAAGCGGGATTTTTTTATCGGAATTCCCTACGTATCTATGCTGGTTCTTCCGAATTCTCAATTAATCTTTGCTAGTTGGCCCTTTCCTTAAGAATATTCGCAATTTTCAAATGACCTCCGATGCATGCTCGAAATTGCCAATAGCCTCTGCTGGCAACCCTGATATTTTTTGCGCTACATTCCTCAAAGAATCGCTGCTCGTTGGCTTACCTTCCAGTAATTTCTACGCGCTGCTCATATTTCCTAAAGAATCTCTGCGCGTCACCCTCCATTCTAACGAATTCGAAAAGAAAATGTCAGTCGCCTTCGGTATAGCGCGTAGTTCTCGGGACCTAGTCCGCGACATGGGGTCGATTTTGGTGTTTCTGAACCCTTTAAAAGAATAATTTCAGAATGATGAACCAAACGCCAATTAAAGGTTTTATTCCACCTTTAAGCTCATAAATTGTGAAACTCAGAAATTATCAGCATTTTGTGATAGTTCGAAAGAAGCCCTGGATTATTTGCCAAAGCCATCCGCTCGTTTGCCTGAAATCTCCATAATTTTTCTTGATCTTCGGAATCCTCGAAAATATCAGATCGTCAACAGGATGATTGAATGCCAGAATTAACAGCTTGGGCCGTTATTTGCTAAAACATCGAAATTCCAGAGCTGCTACCGTATGACGGCCTGCCAGACGGCGAAGTGCGTCTGTATTTCGGGGAGTGTCCGAAGGAATGATGGACAATGCGTGGCCCCGAATCGCTGCAGTAGTAAGCAAAATCCACGACAAATTTTTAAAAAAATGAGTTTCAAAAGTTTCTAAAAAATCAAAAAAATGCTTGACTTTGATCTACTGCCATGTATGTGGTGAAATATCGTTTGATCATCACGTCTCTTTTTCAGACCCATACCCTCAACCAACGCCGCCACCACCGCCAACCCCAAAAATCAGCACCAAGAAAATTAGTACGGTAAGTGGAGACTCGCTTTGACTGGCTGTCACGCTCCCTTTAAAGCTCTTAAAGAATTTCGACAAGCTAGCGATGAATATCTGGCCTTCGATTTCCATACAATCTCTGCTAGTTGCCTCGGTAGCTCGAAAAGCTGTCACGCTCCCTTTAAAATACCTAAAGGATCTTGGCTAGTTGCTCCAGAGCACTGAAAATCAAAAAATCCCCGCCAGCTACCATTCCCGAAAATCCAGGTGTCGTGCTCCTTTTAAAAATCCTAAACTCTCTCTGCAAGCTACGAAAATTTCTTTGCATATATCGTGCTAAAATTCCACCAAATTCCAAAGAATCTCGGCTAGTTACCTCGCTCTCATGAAAAATATCGGGACCTCGGTCCCTTTAAAGCTAAGAATCTCTTCAAGCTACCCAGAAAACCACTGAAAATCTTGCTATTTTTAGACCAAAAAATTCGCAACCAATCTCTGCCAGTTACCTAGGTGCGACCTAAAGCTCCAGGTTTCCTTAAATTTCTCAAAGAGCAGGGGATCAAATGTCACGTTCCCTTTGAAATTTTTAGAAGCCCTCAACATTACTCTCGGAAGTAAATAGTTTGTACCAATTATTAATCATATTTAAGGCATTTTTAAGGTGACGTCCACGACCACGGCAGCGACGGAAAAATCGACATCTACGGCTATGGCTGCTACAACCACGGTGAGCTAAACGAGCGGCAAAAAAAAGATGTTTTATTAATAGTAGAGAAAATCAGGAGCTATCTTCAATTATTAATCGCATAAAAGATCGTCTTAATATTTACTCGAACTGAATGCAAACCAAATTTTAACTATTTAATATAATAAAATAAATGTTGTTACAAATCAAAAAATTGAGAAGGATTTTCAAACTTGATATAACGCTTCTTTAAAGCATCTTTTTGTAACGGAGGATCGGCGGTAATTTTTTGGGCAAGCTAGCAGCGATCTTTTGAGAAACGGAAATAGAATTCCTTATCCCAAGGAATATTAAAATTCGTACGCAAATTAAGTCGACCGCCGCTCCGGAAAGCACGTCCCAGCAAGCAGATACGGTATTTCTAGTTTTTTTTGTAAACCGACTTTCAGGAGATGACGTCTAACAAACATCTAACTACGGAGACCACCACCGAGGAATCCGTAAGAATTGCTAAAACACAATTTTTTAAGGCTGGAAATTTTATTGCATCGACGAAACAGAATCCAGTGCTTCAAATGGCATGACGGATGGGATTACGGTAAGTTTTATAGAATTTAGCAGTAAAAATTAACAATAGCTTTATAATCACGGTTTTTTTAATTAACCGAAATCCTGAACTTAATTTACAAGCACTTTAACAATTTGTTAACCATTTTCGATAATTCCTAAATTCTCAAACTTTCCTTCAAAATGGTTTTTTTTAGAAGACGACAGTCAATTCTGAGGAGACTACGACGACAAATGATGGCGAGGTAAAAAACGTCTCTATTTAATAAAAAACGTACCGTATTTGCAGTGTGAATCCGAGACGACAACGGCTGCTAGTGGAGGTGATCCAGAAACGACCGTAAGTCGCAGTTGAAAAATTTTAGATCGCTATTTCCTATTTTTTTCCTTATTTTAATCTGATTTTTTTGTATTATTTATTAATTCATAGATTTAATTGTTTATTTCAATACAAAGCTTACAAAAGTTTTTTACAAAAATTTTTCAAACATACACAAAGTTTTGAAAAATGAAAGTTCCAAAAAGCTCTAAGAAAAAGAAAAATTACGCCATTCTAAGCTCCCGCAAAAGCTATTTTTGGTGTAACATAATTTCGCTAAAAGCCCAAAAATTTTGGTCTTGTTCTGGGAAGTTAATTAAGCGTTAATTGGCCACGATAGCTGCTGTGCTAGTTAGGAAAAACAACAAAAGTTTTTTTTAAAAAAATATTTTGGGCTAATTTTGGGCCAAAAATATTTTTAGCCCAAAATTCCTTATATTAAATTAAGGCGACCGATTCGACCGTTTTCCAGACAACCGAAGAGAGCTGCGCTCCCGTGGAGACTACGGTAGCTACTTTGCAAATTGAAAAACTGTATAAAGTTGATATTTAATGCAATTAAAAGGATTATCAAGGTTATTTATTATAAAAGAGTGATAAAAGATAAATTTTTTGTGAAACTTTTATTTTTATAGAGTTCAACATCGACATCATCTACAGATGCCGATACTACGATAACAGAAGAAGAAGACTGCTCCACCGAATATACGGTTCCTAACGTAAGATATCGAAAATAACGCTAAATAATTTTTAGACGGAAATTACTGTGTAGTATTTACGTAATCTTATAAAAAATCTGCTTAAATTTTCAGACCACGCCAGAAATATCATCTACCGATTCCGTGACTACGGTAACGGACGAAGAAGACTGTACCACCGCCTATACGATAATTAGCGTAATTTACCCAAACAGTTTTTTCAAATCCTTAGACCACATCCGGGACCCCATCTACAGATGCCGATACTACGGTAACAGAAGAAGAAGACTGTACCACCGAGTATACGGTAATTAGCGTAATTTCTCAAAATAATTTTATTTCAGACAATTGAGACCACGCCAGAAGTATCCTCAACTGCTTCTGATACTACGGTAACAGACGAAGCAGAAGATTGTACAACCGAATATATGGTAATCACCGTAACTTGTCAAAAAAATTCAATTTTTAGACCACAACAGAGATATCATCCACTGCTTCTGAGGCTACGGTAACGGATGAAGATTGCACCACCGAGTATACGGTATTTTATAAAAGTTAAATTAGAAAATTGCCATTTTAAGGAAAGCCCAACTACCACTAAAAACCACGAAACCGAGGTAACCACGTTAAAATCGCCAACATTTTCTCATAAAACTTTTTGTTGTCGTCTCCCAGTGGTTACGGTACTTTGAGAGCCATGTACCAAATAAAGGTTCATTAAAGCCAAAAATCTGAAATTTTACAGAAAATTTTAGGAAACACCAGGGTTGAAAAGCCGCTTCGCGACTTTTCAACCCTGGCCCCGCGTCTGATCCCATGATATTCTGCCCTTTGCATAATTCACGCGATTTTCGATGACAAAAATGAGAAACGCGACCTCTCTTCTGGTATGTAGGCTACCGTAACTTCCGGAATATGCTAATTGTTTCCTAACAAAGAGGGTGCTCGATTTTTCAAAAAAAACTTAATTTTAACATCGAAAACACCGAATTTTTGAACATTTTATGAGTGTGCAGTCATCCCACGGTCATTACGCATCGAATGAGGTATAAAACATACCCCTAACTGCCCCCCTTCTTGAGATACTGCTGGAACACGCTGACGGAAGTTGCATGCAAATGCACACACATACATACATACACACACAGGAACTATTTTTTTATATATATAGTAGGATTAATTTTCAAAATAAAATTCACGCCTAATTTTTTTTTTGTTTCTAGGAAACAAGCCCAGAATCGACGACAACAGATGAAGACTGCACGACTGAGTATACTACGGTAGATTAATTTTTGCCTGTTCAAAAATATTGTAGTCAGACCCAGGTTCAATGAAAGTCCCAACACCGTCACGGCTCCCAGGGCTCACACAGACAATCCTGAAACATTTAGTATTCCAGGCGACACCCGGAACCCTATCAACCAGTTCTTCTGATACTACTGTAGCCGAGGAAGAGGACTGTACGACAGAATATACGGTAAGTTTGCTTAAAACTAACAAATTATTGTTTTTTGGGAAAACGGCTACTGTAGGAAAACCCAGTGCGGTAAAAGCCCTATAATAAATAAAAATAGGCCTTATGAAAATTGATTTTTAGGCTTCAACAGCAATATCATCTACTGATTCGAGCTCTACGTTAGAGGCGGACTGCACCACTGACTACACGGTATTTTTTAAAAGCAAAACATAAGGCAAAAATACAAAAATTCGAACTGGTGAAATAGACTTTTTTTGAGGAATCTTCTACTCCTATTAACGCAGATACTGAGGTAATACAGGAAAATAACAATTAATCAGAACGTTCAGTCCACTATAAATAGTTCACCCCCGGTATCCACTACCATTACTGGCGCCACCACCCAAAACATGGTAAATACAATTTGAAACAAAAGTTTCTTTTAGGATAGTACAAGTGAGGACTGTACCACCGAATATAAGGTAAATATTATAACGTTAATTTAAGAGCTAATTCCATTTTAAGGAAACTACAACTTCTGCTGATACAGCAAGTGTGAGTGATATTTGGTTTTGAAGGCTGGGATTAAAGTCTATTTTACCCACAGCCGAACTTTAGATTTTTCAAACGCAATTATTTTTATTTTCCATTATGAACTGCTAGAGCTGCACTTAATGAACCAATTTTTTAGACTACCTCAGAAACATCAACTGGTTCTGAGACTACGCTAGAGGAGGATTGCACCACTGACTACATGGTATCATAAAAATTATAATTTGAACATGTGGCTTTTGCAGGAAATAACAACTACGGGTGCTGAAACCCAGGTTCCAATTCTAGAATTGCTGAAAATTAAATTATAGACAACGGTAGCCGTAGAATCGTCCACGGAAAGTGGCTACAGCACGCAAACTGAAACGCTCGAGACAACAACAGAAGAGGACTGTACCACCGAATATCCGGTAATTCCTTGAAAAAAGGGCTGGAAAATTGATACGCCATGTAAAGCACCTCAATTCCTTTCATTTTCAGGAAATGACAACTTCACCTGATGCGGTCACTAATACAGAGGTCAAAAAAGCAATTCCGCATACTTCTTCTTTATCTTTTAGCCCTCAACGACATTGGCGGCTGAGACTACCGAAGCGGAAGATTGTACGACTGAATATCCGGTATCTAGACGAAATATCTACATCTCTATTGGCTCGTACTTAATTTGGTTGCGTAAATTCGCGATCTAAGCGTCCCTACAAAGCCCCCCATATCCTAGTCTACCGTCACCGAGACAACAGTGAGGTCAACGATCCCAAGCACCACCGAGGAGGACCTGAGCGATTGCGTGGTAATATACTCATGAAAAAGTAGTCAATCGTAAAATCCCTTCTCAAGTGCCCGCTGCTAGCCTGCCCTGAAATATCTAAATGAAATTTCAGGAGTCCTCAACTGTCCGATCCGAGATACAAAATGTAAGACAAGCCATTTTGCGTTAAAATTAATCATTTTACAGGCCGCGATCGAACCCAAAGCCGAAGAGTTAAAAATGAATCTCCCCAGCGAATTCATCTTCCGCCCACAAACTTTCAACGCCTTCAATCGAGCCGCGGATGCTAGTTTTAACGCAAATCCCGGACCGCAAACCTAAAAGCGATAAAGCAGCACGCATTTTGTATAACACATCTTTCTTCACTTATCCTCAAATTTACGGAATGCATGAATTTATTGCCGCAATCGCAAAATATTACCCGACATTGTTGCGAACAATCACAAAGCAGCTTTAGATCAACGGGGGAATGAGGGTGCACCGAGAAGCAGAAAAATGGACGACACATAGCTGGTTATTTCTAGTACACAGAAAAGTATCGAGACGAGGTTCTTAGTTCGGAGGGTGGGTCGGCTTGAAGGCGGGAATGCGCGAATTGCCCATCTGAAGCGGACGCGGAAGACGGAGGGCCGGCAGCGTTGGCGTGATGGGGCGCGCTTCTGAAACGGGAAGGTTTGAAAGATAACAAAGAAACAATGCCAAAACTTATTGCTTTAAGACAGGCCGCCCGTATTTAACTCTCCTCGTGTGTGCCTTAATTGACGTCCCGAAACGCCAACCAAACGGGCGTGATTTTATGTAAAAATGCTTTTTCGGGGCGCCAGACGTAAGGAAATACGGTATGCCTTTGAGATAAAATCCTAACCTTGCGGCTTCACTTCAGCCTTCGACTTGTTCGTGGAAGGCGCAGAAGCCTGGCGATTTTGCGTCGAGAGCGGGCGCGCGACCGCTAAATACAGGCTACATTTGAAACTTCAATGATACCTGGCCTAACATTCGGGCGAGCCGTCGCTTGAGCCACGGGTTTGCTGCTGCTCGGCGCCGAGTTAATCGGTCTTGCAGGCAATGCGGTGGTGGGTGGGGGACGAGCAGGAGTAATGTGGTTACTAGCGGAAACCGGCTTGCCGACCGAAGTGGCAGCAGCGGGTGTCGGCTAAAACAAATGTTATGCTCCAGAAACTTTAGGCTCACGCGACGGGCGATGGGAGGGCTGCACTTCTTGCCGGCTGGCTGGGGGTGGGCCGGGGGGTGGCTCTTCTTTGCCGGTTGCTGGGGTCGAACATTGGCGGCGGGGGCTGCCGGCTTGGCTTTGTTGGGGGGAGTCGCAGCCTTGGCGCGCTGGTCATTGGCACGAAGGATGGCAGGCGCCGCCACATTGGCTGCATTCTCGGCGATGAGCTTCGCACACGCTTCGTCAATCTAAAAAGACTGTGCAAAAAATAAAAGTGAAAAGCCAGCTAGTTCAGTAGTCTATACCTTTGTCTTCTTCGCAGCTTCGAGGTCGCCGAGGAGTATGCTGAAGGGCCCCTCACCCGTACAGCGCTTGATTGCGCCCAACGCCGAGCAGGCTGAATCGCGCACTTCACTGTCCGCATCGTTCGCACGCTAGAATCAAAACGAGAATCCAGACTAGAAGTCAGTATTTACCGAAGCCAAAGCTGGGATTAGAATCTTGACGAGCTCGATTTTCAGAGTCCCTGTGCTGTGTTGGGCGAGATGGCGGGCCAAGAAAGAAGTTGTCTAAAGAGGTCGTAAACCAGAAACAGACATCAAGCGAACCTGCAGCTTGACGGCTGGGTTGGACGAGTTGAGCGCAGTCACAGCAGGCTCGAGCACCACGTCAAGGGGAGCAGAGACGGCCACCGAATCAACCAGCTCCACCAAGCGATCCTTGAGCACTGACTTCTTCTCTTTGAACTTATCCAGAATCGGAGTCATTGCCTAAACAAAATTTGGTCGCCAATAAGGTCAAAACCACCTGCAATGCATATGGGCCAAACCCAGTACGGAGACCTTCACTGAGGATGTAGAGACACGAAGCTGCCGTGGCGGCCACATTGATATTGATGTCCTTGGCGACAACCTGCAAAAGAGAAAACGTGCAAGCTAATAATACTCATTCTACTATGTCAAGTCGCCAGCGTTCGTGAAGCCCTTTTCAACAGCATACCTTTATCAAACCAGGGATGACAACGTTCGAATGTGCGGGGTCCGGCTTGATTCGTTGCACGTCTTTGAGCGACCCCAAGAAATTGTCCAACACCTCTTTCCGATCTAATACAAAGATTAGCAGAGCTTGCAGTTTTGAACACACCTTGCCATTTCGAGCTTCCTAGCATCTCTTCCCAGTTCTTAGGCACGGCCGCCCAAACGTTGACGGGATCGAAGAGCGTCCATGGATCGATGCCTTCCACGGCGGCTTCAGGGGCTTCGACTGGTTCGGAGGTCGGGCAGCTGGCTTCGCCTTCGCTTGAGGGGCCAGCTACGGGGGCGCAATTCTTCGCTGCGCAATACTCCTTGTAAGCCTCGGCAGCGGTCTTACAGGCTTCTTCGATCTGAAAAACGCAGATGGTTGGAAGAAGCGGATCTCAAAGAAAAATACCGGTCCATTCGAGCTAGCAGAATTAGTCAAATAGCGATGAAGTAGCAACTCAGTACCTTTCCCATCTTTGCGGCATCTTGGGTCAACTCCTTGAGCATCGGCTTGAGTGCCGGGCCGATAAGACGCTGTGTTGAGCCCAAAGCCTCTAATGCAGCGTCACGAACCTCACGATCTGCATCAGATGCGTGCTGAAGAAGGATATTTAGGAAAGCAATTCGGAACACACCTTGACAACGATGGGAACGATTTGCTTGATAAAGTCCATGGGTGGGCCGGCCTGCTTGTTCAGAGTGTTGGCGACGAACTTCGTCAATAGTTGCTTCATTTGTGGATTGGTGTTGGCGAGCGCCTTCTGCAGATCGGCCACCAGCTTTTCGGGCGCGGTCTAGGTATGTTTGTATATCGGAAGATCAAAAATTTACCCATTCCGCTATCGAGTCAAGGCAGGCAGCAAGGGGCTCTCGGACGGATGACTTCTTGTCCTTTGATTTATTGAGGAGTGGCTCGAGTAGCTAAACGAAATCCCATCAAATTCTGTCAAAACAAAAGCTTACCATTGGCAAGAAGCCCGTGAATTTTGAGCGCAATCCACTCGAAAGCATTTGCAGAACGTTGATGGCAACGGCGACTACGTTGATGTTACTGTCGCGAACGAGAATCTATAAAAACGGTGAAGTGCCCAAAAAAAGATGCTTACCTTTTTCAAGTCATCCATCAATTCCCCGTAGATGGTGAGCGTTTTGATCGAAAGTTTCGGGTACTTCTGGAGGAGTCCCGCCAAGCTATCCAGCGCCTCCTTCCTTTCTTGCCATTTTGTTGAAGCGAGCAGTTCCCTTTTGTCCGCCGGCCACATGCCCATCACGTCCGTTTCATCCAGGAAATCCCATGGATCCATCCTGAAATTCAGTAATCTTCTTCACCTAATGCATGATAAGAGAAAAAATAGCAGTGGAAAGCCGCCCCATTTTTGAAAAAAATGAACTGGAGTGCATGGTTGTCAAATTGCGAAACTGATGAACAAAAATTCGGTCCCATTTTCAAATGCGACCAAGAGGCGCCATCAGAAGCCGGAAAGTTGAGCAGTCGAGTGTTTCTTCAACCGAAATTGGACAAAGCTGCATGCGGATAGGTAATTAAGCCACGGAAACTATAGAATGCTCTCCTAGAGGACGATCATCGTCCAAGGGCTATCCCGCTAGTGTAGTCTGTAGTCAGCTGGCATGCCCTGCCATCAATGAGCAGTTTCAGTGAATCCCGTAAATGAAATGCAAATTCTGAAAAACGAATCCTGGTAATGCCCGACTGGAAAACGGAATTCTATACAACCGAAACATTTATTAAAGCACCCTGTAAACGCAAATGGCCCAATATCGAGTAACGTGCACGAACAAATGGAAACACGAAAAAAAATAAATACAACAATGAATAGCACAAGTTTTCAAGCGTTGATGCGACGATCGGCGAACTTCGAATGCTTGTAGCGCAGTTCCGTCTCAACCTGGCCCAAATCGAAGCCGGCACCGTTGCCGCGCCCGAAGAAGTCCTTGCTGAAACGAACATTCCCTTGAGAAGCGGAAGGATCCACTTACGCGTATTGCATGACCATCCGGCGTCCGCGGTCGGCATACTTGTTGGCAATGTAGAGCGGCGACGGCAGAGATGTGGGCATGTTGACAATCTGGTGCATGAAGCACAGGTTGTAGGTGAGACGTTGGAAGTCATCTGTCGACCAGCCGCTCTCATCGACCAAAGCCGTGTACCGAGGCGTCATGGCGCTACCCTAAAAACAAAATTTCAATTCGACTGGAAAACAGTACCTGGAGAGCAATGTGAGAGTTCAAGTAGAACTGGCGGAACTTGGGATGGGTGAGGCCAGTGTCGACAATTGTGCCCGGAGTCACGTTTTGATCGAAGGGGCAGTCGTGGGCGTTGCTCTTGTAGATCCGCACGCAGTGATCCTTGGAGACGATCACGTAGGTGAGCTTGATTTCGTCTTGGCTTGAGCCCGCGACCATGCGCATCGTCTTCCGGATCATTGGCAGCTCGTGGGTGCGAAGCTAAATAACAGTTTAACGCGCCCCGTAAAATAAATACCTTGTCAAATTCTCCTTCCGGCACACCGCCACGATAGATGATCAACTGCTTCGGAAGCGGCCGAGAGCCCTTGGTCAGCTTTCCCATCGTCAGCCACTCGTTCAGCGCCTGTTCAACGACCAGGTGGCCGATCAACTAAAAAAAATGGTTGACAATCAGTAAAATAATACAAACCTGGCTGTCGTTGTGCTCCGAGGCCGCGACGTGGAAGTCGCCGACGAACGCCCCTGGGTGCTCAGTGGTGTTGGCGGAGTAGCCAACAATGATCGGCATCTTGACATTGTCTCCGCTGTCCAAAGAGATTCCAGAGGGCGGGGCGACGGCACCGATTCCCAGAACAAGGACGTCCGCAGTGTCGAGCAAGGTATGGCCGTTGCTAAACAACAAATCAACTGGTTTTTTAAATATCCTTACATCTTCAGAGTATAGTTAAGGCCGCCCAGCTTCATGTTGAACTTGTTGATGATGTTTTCGATTGTCGTCGCTTTGCGGCCACTCGGAAGTTCGCCAGCCGTCTTGGACTTGATGTTTTGGGTAGCGATCTCGTAGCGGCGCTCCAGAACCTTGATCTTGTCTAAAACACAATTCAAAAGAATATTTCGAATGCAAGTACCTTGAATGA